TTAATAAATTATATATATAACCTATATTAATTTTAAATATCATATATAATAATATTTTAATAACATTATATTAAAAACTTATTATTATCTATATATATTATATAATATTTAATTAGTATAATATAGTAATAACGTATTTATTATATTATATATATAATATATTTAAGTAAAGCATTATATTAGAATTTAATAACATAATTGTACTACATGATATTAATATGAATATATATAATTAACATATGTTAATAGTAATTATGTATATATCATATTATATATAATATTATATAATATTGTAATAACAATATATTAAATAATATGTATATAATAACGCTATATAATATTTTAATATCAATATATAGTAATATTTAATAACACATATTAATAATATCTATTAATAATTATTATATAAATTAATTAGTAATTATATAAGTATATACGTATTTATTTATATATTATCTATATATTTTAGTAACATATATTAATATTTTAATAACATAATTATACAACATAATATAATAAATTATATAATAACAATATGTTATAGTATTATGTAATATATTATTATTAAATAATTAGTAGTTTTAGTATAAGCATATTTATTTAAATATTAATAACTATTTTAATGACATATTATTATATAATTAATTTATAAAATATTATTATAGTTATTAATATTATATGAACATACTATTATAAATATAATATAAATAATTATCTATATTAGTAAAATATATGATTAATATATAGTATATACTATAGTTTGAAATAATATATATAGTTAAGTATATAGCATGATATCTTTTAATTATATTATTGTAATATCATGTATATATATATGTTATATTTATATTTAATTTTAATATAAAATTTAAAAAATATACATTGAATAAAGTAAAATATTATAAGATAGTTTATAAAGTACATTATACCTATGATACATATTAATAATATATTAAAAATTAAATAATATATATAAAAGTATTATATTATAGTAGTATTATCATATATTATATCAATTATTAATAATAAGTAGCGTAACTAATATAATGCTAAATAGTAATTATTGTATAACATAATTATATTTTGTGAGTCAAAATAAAATAATGTAACATAATTGAAATATTATATTATTAAAATATTATATTAAATATATTAATATTATATTATATTAATTATTATATATAGTATAGCATGCTAATATAATATAATAAAATACAATATGATAATTAATAATAGTAATTTGTAAGTATAATACAATATATTATATTTTAATATAAAGTAAAATAATATTTATATTATAATAATATACTAAACCAATTGGATAAGTTAATTTAGAAGTAATTAATAGATAAAATTATATTTTAATAAGGTATCACATCATCAATTATTCCATATGAATTGTCAAATCAAAAGTTCAAATTATCTCATTATCCCACTTTACCCCACTCAAAATATCCCAAAGGGGTAAAATTGTTCCATTGGAACAATTTTCCCACTTGGCCTTAATTTGTCCCAACCAATAACTCCCCCTTAGTAAACACTTAATAAGTACACAAATTTCAGAAAACCCCCACAATGTTTTTTTTCCCAATTCATCTCCATAATGGTGTAAGCCCATGTTTTGAATCTGGGAAGGAGAATATGACATAAATATTATAAATTAATTATTGGAAGCTAAGTGAAAAAAAATCAAAACATTTTGATGGTTTTTTGAACTTCCCAAACGAATTTTGGGTTTAATGAGAGTTTCAAACTTTTTGGGGTGTTAAGTGCCAAATAACCAAACTTATTGGGGGTTTAGTGAAATTTACTCTTTATAATAATCAGAAGAATAAATTTTATTAGCATCAATAGTTTTGCTAATATTATAAGCTTAATGTCTCTAATCCAAATTGGCACTAGGGTTATTCATGAGTATGGATGGGTTTCCGCGTTCTTTTTGAATTTGGATCCTCTCCGCGACTAAAAAGTAGTGGACCACTACTTTTCATAACAACATTTGATTATCTAGTGTGTGAATGTGATTTATTATAAATCTAACATTCATCATACTTCAACATACTAAACTTACTCTTAATTTACACTCAAAAAACCATAACAGTCTACTAGACGATCAACCATTGGGAGCTGGACAGTATCCAGGCAGGAATTTTTTGAGGGAAATTTTGACAGAAAGTGGGTAGTTAGTAATGGAGAGCATAACAAGGACTGCCTTAATTTGGAGGTATTATTCACTGTGTTTACCAAATGAAATACAAAATAAGCAACCGGGGATGGGAGCGAAGAGCATTAAGAGTTTCATGTTCTGCTTACAGTGCTTTTAGACTCTCTCTCTTTCAATTTCTCTTAACATTAAAAGCATTAAATTATCATGCTGATCGATTCTTTCATCTACTTATTGTTTTTTTTTTAACAGGACATGATTAGGTTTGGATTGAGTGGCAATAGGAAACTTGCTTGTGAAAAATAGATGGATTGTCTAAATGAGCGTCTTCTTTTGACGAAATTTTTTTTGAAATAAAATTAGATCTACTACTAGTTTCAAGAAAGAGCGAGAGAAATATTTATTGCCAGAACAATGTGACACCAATTATTGCACAGTTAGATGATGCAGTGTAATATTTATCAAGCTAAATATCAAGGTTAATTGTATATATACCCTCCAAAATCTCCCAAGATTGCATATATGCTCCCGAATCTTTATAGTTACCAAATATGCCCCCCCATCTTCTGTAATTGCATATTTACCCCCTAAATATTCATATTTGACAATATACCCCTCACATTTTTCATAATTGCCTATTTACCCCCAAATCCTTATAATTGCTAATATACCTTATTGTTTTGTTGAGTCATTACATAAAATTTAGAAATACGCAAAATACCCCCAGTGAGGGGAAGGGGGGGGGGGGGGGGGAGGGGTAAATATGCAATTATGCAATATTTGGGGAGCATATTGGCAATTATGAGGATTTGGGGGCTAAATATGCAATTATGGAATATTTGGAAGGTATATAGCAAAAAAACCTAAAATGTTGTTCATTTATACAAATTGAAAAGCATGAAAGTTTATTTCAATGAATTGAGTTTTTTTAAACAGAAAATCATCAACATATAAGTAGTCGAAGTGCAAGTATTGAAAGTGTTCTTTTAGACGTTTGTGTGCTCTTAAAAAGTTTCAAAGTTCCAAAATAGATGGGAAAAAAGAAAATCCTAAATGCAATTTTTTTTAATCCCCGCATTTTTTGGGCATATACCCTTCAAGTCTTTAAGCCGAAAAATACTTTTCAAAATCATCACATTTGTGAAATTATTGTCAACATCGTACGTAGATTTTTCTATCTTATTTTTTGCTTCCCCTGTCCTCCCAACATGAGCCTATAATTGAGGGAGGAGCGTATTTTCTATAATTTTTTAAATTTAGTAATGACAATTAAGAGTGGTAAGCTACATAAAGTTAATTGAGAGATAAATGTAATAAATATTACTAATTATATATATTTTATATAGGAAACAATAATTATGAGGTGGCGGATAATCTAATAAAATGAGCGAGCTTACCAAGAGATAAAATAGTGAGGTTATAGTGAGGTTCACATCTTTTAATGTGTTCAGCAAGATGGATTTTGCCACATAGCTATTTCTTAATAGCTCATTTAGAAAAATGAGCAGCCACCACATATCTATTATTTCCCTTTTTTTTTATAAATATGATAACTATCTATATATTTTTCAATATCTATGTTTTTTTAATATGACAAACTAGAGGGATAAATATGTAAAATCTATTTTTTGCATAAATGTTTCTATTTGATTACTTGAATGTAGAAATACATTAGTGCCAAAATCATTATTATATAATCTCTCAATGTTGCATTTTCATCCTACCCCATGCTTCGTATTTTTGCTATTATCCCATCGAGAAATTCATAGTGAAGTTTCATGCTGCTAAATTCATAAATTTGACAGGAAAAAAGAAAGAAAAATAAAAAATTAAAAGCACATGGATTACTTACATATGACACAATATTTTCTATAAACAAAAGTTCTTTTTTCCTTTTCAAGGGGGAAAAAGGGAGATGACGAAGAATACAACACTACATGTAATCCATTATCATTATGCGAGCTCTCTGCTTTTTTCGCTTTCCTTTTTATTTTTATTAATTTTATTTTTTATCTTTATTTTTTTGGTGCAATCTTGGAGTTTTATCGAACATCGGACTGCAATTTCTATCAGAACACCCCACCACATGGGGTGTTCTGATTCTTTTAGGTGGCAGTGAACATTGGACTGCAATTTCTATCAGAACACCCCATGTACCCCACCACATGGGGTGTTCTGATCATTTTAGGTGATTTGCGCAAAAAACACCCTACAATTCTACTGATTGCAATCTTACTTGGAATGTCTTTAAATGCAATTAGATGGCTTTATATATACTAGTATCTTATTTGGAACGTCTTTAAATGCAATTAGGTGGCTTTATATATACTAATATAAAGCGCGTGTTTTGCATGTGAATATATTTATTTTTTTTATTTTACATTTGATCCGTGAGTAAATGACTAAGGGTTTATTTATTTATTTATTTTTTTTTTTTTTTTTGATAAAAGAAAGGGAGAAAGAACTGAAGTAAAGAGTCGGAAAGAATGTTTTTGAGTGTTTAATAGTACATGAATTCAATTGTGAAATGAACAAAAACAATTTAGTGAATATACGTGCATCGGAATCGATGATAGGTCGGTTGATAATATTGCTATGCTCGGTTCATATACTAGTTCATATAAACTTTTATATATCAGTAAATTTAGAGGTTTCTTTGAAATAACACTTGGAGAAACAACTTATAAATCTGGAAGAAAAGAACTATGCAAATCCTCTTCCTGTACGCTTGCAGAGAACATGAAGAATCTGGAAAATTGTCTTTTACAAAAGCACGGGCATGGCTCGTAAAAGATGCTTATAAAACGTCCGAGCTCTGGAATTATACGGGGTACTTGCACCTAAAAATTCAAGTCCATCACAAAAGAATAAAAAATGGCAACCTCTACTTGATTCCACAGAAGGTTTTGAGGAGAGGGAGGGAGAGCTAGAGAGAAGAACATCCCTAATAATAGTCTTGGGTATTGATGGGAGGGGAATACTTTTATAGTTCGTTTTCTCCCCTCTTGTTCCTTAAGGCTATGTTTGGTTTGAGGGAAAGGGAGAGAAAAGAAAAGTAAAATAGAAGAGAAAGTGAATTTCTAGTGTTTGGTTTGAAAGAAAACAAAAAAGAAAATGAAAATAATTTTCGCTGAAGAAAAATCCATACATATCTTTTCTGTCCCCCTTTCTCTCAGCTGCCCAGGTGAAAACGAGGGAGAGAGACGGAATCAATGCCTCCGACTTCCCCGATCTCTCACCTCCCTCTCTCTCCAAAACTCCGATCAATCTCCCATCTCTCTCTCCCCCCTCATTCTCTTTCTCTCTCTTCCCAAATCTAGGGCTACAAAGCTAGGGTTTCTCCATTCGAGCTCTCGTCAGCTTGAGATACGAGGGTGAGCTTCGGATCTCGTCAACTTGAGATCCGAGGGTGAGCTTTTGAAGCGACAACGCCAAAGGTAGTCTCTCTCATTTTCCCCAAATAATTTCCCCAATTTTCGTCAGAAATTCAACGACCGAATCTCATTGAAACCCTAGAACCCAACTGATTGCCGATCTTCGCTGCTCGCTTTCTTGCTGATCTTGATGGAGCCGTCTCCGGCAGCGAAGCTCGCCGCTCAGAGCAGCAAGTGAGAGAATTGACGATCGATTAGGTTTTTTTTTTTAAATTTAGTTCTTGATTTCGTTATTTCTGACGGCCTCCGTTTGATGCAGGCCTCGTCTGTTTACTGGGAGCTCGTCTTATCTGGACGAGGATCTCGATATAATTGAGCTATCGGGCCCGTCTTCTTCTTCTTGGAATACAAATAATCAGAAGAGAAAGAGAACCCAGGTTGAGAAAATTCCATTTTTAATGCTTTCATATGTGACCAACTGTATTTGGATTGTTTGTTCAATTTTATTTATGCAGAAAGATTATAGTTCTACTGCTAATTGTTAATTTGGATAATCAGTGGCGAAGCCAAGATTTTATAATCAGTCATTGAATCCTAATTTTCAATGTGCAGTCAGGGATTTCATCTTCATAACTCATAACGTGTGTTATTATAGATTTATAGGTATGAATTCTGTAATCAATCAATGTAAGCAGTGTGTGACAATTTTGTAACGTTCTGTTAATATCACTTACTTCTAATCCTTAACCTTTGCATGCTTTTATCAAAATAGATTGTGAGTGATTTTGGTTCGATGGGTGAACTTGGATGGTCGTCGCCTTCTTATTAAATATGGATTTGGAGTATTTAGTTGGTTGCCAGGCTGAAGGTGGAAATGCTGCTTGAAAACGATTGATGAGTGAAAAATATTGTAGAGGCTTGTATAGAAAATCATTTCATAAGGGAGATATTGGAGGAAGACGGTTGATTAGTATGGCTTTTGATGCATACATCCAAATGTGACAGTTTATCAGTGAAGTTGCTATTAAACTGATTGTTATTGTTATGTGCACTTAAAAAAGACGTTATCACATGTCTTCGTCCCTATTTTCCTATATATTCTGTACATGTGCGTGTTAATGTTTATATATCTGTTCTCTGAGTCACCATGCGGGCGTTCGGGGTCGTGCGAAGGGGGTAGTGATGGTATTTAAGCATTTGCACATTCACTCCTCTTTCCTTTAGACATGGTCATGCTGTTTAGAGCGGAGTGTTCTACTTGAGTAATATTAAGCATTTGCACATTCACTCCTCTTTCCTTTAGACCTTCAATTGCATCCTCAGCTTTGTGAAGAAGCCTGTAATCATTTCCTCTGGCTGTATACCCTAACTCTGGAATTGGCTCTGTTTCATTGTAACAATTTTTACGCTAAGCTTGAAGAGTAGAACAATACCAAGTGATACAACATCCCTCAGTTGTAACGTAGTATGCTCTTCACAATTCTTCTTGTTGACCCGTTGCTTTGTAATCGAAGATACATGTTTCATGTTTTAATATTAGTTTAGAAGATACATGTTTCATGTTTCAATATTAGTTTAGACCACATGCATTCAATGTTACTTATCCTACATGATTCACTCCATCTTATCTACTTGGATATACATTGTATCAATTTGCTATTCTCATTGACATTGTCTTAGTTTTGAATCAATGCAATATGATTTTCTACAAGCTTGTTCTTAGTTCATGGTACTTACCGATTAATCTTTTTTGACTCCATGTCCATTTAAATTTGAATGTAACTCAATATTTTCTTTTTTCTCCTTTAGGGAGAGAAGCAGATGAGATCTGAAGCCTTTGATTGAAGTCAGGAAGAAATATTGATGTTATTGCTTTGTAGGAATATTTGAATGAATCAAATATTCTGAGCATATTTCTTGATGTTCACTTTTTGTTTTGCCTTTTTTAGTTAGGACCTTGGACTAGTCGAGAACACAAAGTTGAACTAAAAGTACTTGTTGAATGTTGGGCTTGTACAACTATTGCAACTACAATTTTGTTGGTTGTTTTTAGTAGTTATTGTCAAAGCAATGAAAACAATGTAATTTTTGTTTGATTAGATTGTTTAATTACTTTGTCTAGCAAAAAAGTTGAATTGTTTTTCAGTTGTAGAAATAACCTAGTGATGCAATATTATGCTCGGTAATTTTGTTTTTTAATGTGTATGGCTGATTTTTATGAATTATTTAGTATTTTTGTATTAACTTGTTATTTATATAAGCTTTACCACGAATTTTTATGAATTATTATGAATTTTAATATTAAATTATTATTTATAGAAGCTTTATCATTAGAAGCAATTTTGAGGTATTTATATGAAAAATCAAGTTTGATAGTATTTATGAAATCTAAAGTTTGAAAACTTTTAAAAAAATTATATCCTAAATTACTTAAAATACAGTTCATATATTTCAATAAATAAGATTTGTGGTGTAATGTACCTTGGCTTCTATTTTCTACTTGATTTTCATAAAAAAGAGTAACCAAGCAAAAGAAATGATTTTTCCTATCATTTTCCTTCCAATTTTCTTTACAATTTTCTAACTAACCAAACAACAAAAAGAATTTTATTTTCCTTTCTTTTTCTTTTCCTTTCTTTCCACTTTCTTTTTCCTTTTCTTTTCTCTCCATTTCCCTCAAACCAAACATAGCCTAATTCAATTTGTAGTTTCTCTAAATCAACTTCACCTTCTCTTCCCTAAACTCCCAAATAACAAAATTCAATTATGCTTTTCTTGTGTACTTTCCCTTAACCTTATTTTATCTTTCAAAACTCTCAAACATCGTATAACATAGGACATGAGACATCATAGGACAGAGAACCGACACCTCACATGTCCCATGTAGGATCCTATGTTTTTAGATCCTTGTAACACCACCCATACCCACAACAAGAAGGCCCCATAAAAAATGAGATATACTCTCAGATAAAAACATGAAACCCTACATGAGACGGGTGAGATGTCGGGTCTCTATTCCATGGTACACTGTTCATAAAAATAGACACATCACCTGTCCCATATAGGATCCTATGTTTTTGGGTCCCTGTAACATCACCCATACCCAAGACAAGAAGACCCCATAAAAAAAGTGAGATATAAATTCACAATGCGTAATTATACCCCGAAACAAAAATATTTAGGCTAGATTTATCACCACCCAAGTATTTATCAGCATTTCAAACCGAGGAATCGGAAAGGGGCAGATTCCTACCATAGCAAAATAAATCAACAAATGCAGGCTTCTTCAAGCAAATTTGCAGATAAACGGACCACGAAAAAAAAAAAATTACCGACTCCTTTAATTAAACACCACAACAGATCCGAGGCCTCAGAAAGAAACAATCTTTTTTATCATGGCAATCGCATCAACCAATGTAGGCAACATGTTCACAGATCATCACAGGCCACCCAACCATATGTAGATAACAATCCTTTCATCCTCTCAAATTATAAACTAGAAATTCATATGAAATATTTTAGGGATTAGAACAAATTCGATGAACCCGGCTCACGATCAAAAGGGGGGCTTTTGCATATAAACCACTTAAATCATTCATAGTTGTGAAGTTACCCTGAATTTCAGTATTTACGATACGACCCCCCAATTCATGGACGTTGGGGAAAATAAACAACCGAAATCAAGAAATTTTAAAGACGCCCAAATAATTGCAAACTTTTGTTTTAAGCTGCTACGTTGTTACCCAACTTTTAGTAAATACACGAGTTTACAAGAGACCTCAGAATTCATGCAGATTGTTATCACAGATTATAATCAAACAATGTAGGCAATAATTCTGCAGACTCATCATAGGCCACACCGAAAAAAAAAATTAAAAAAAAAGGGATATAGAAATCAAGAGAGAGAGAGAGAGAGAGAGAGAGAGAGAGAGCGCTCACAGAAATTGAGCCGCCACCAGCATCTAATATTAGGGTTTTAGAAAGGAATATAAACCCACAGATTCCGGGTATGGATCAGGTCAGGTGTATCCGGCCCAAACCCAAAATTCAACTTCTCTGTTTTACGACTTGTTGCGATTAAATTAAACCCGTAGCTGTAGAACAATGATTCACAAGCCTTTACTGATTTTGGCATAAATAGCACCTAGATAAGCCTTTTTTTCCCATTATTTCTTTGCAAATACAACTATAAGGCTTTTTACCCCTAGAATCCACCTTAAAATAGAATAATTCTATATAAACCACCTTTGGATTTTAATTTATATATAAACCACCCTTAAATTGGGTTTGTGCTGCAATCAGCCACCTCTAATTTAAAATTTTTCACTAAAAACCAGAAAATACTGGAAAAACTCACATTTAAGTCACATGAACATTTTATAAATGTTTACGTCTAGTTAGCAAACAAATCACATGCATTTTTAGTGAAATTTTGACTAGGGGTGGTTAATTGCGACACAAACCCACTTTAAATGTGGTTTATGTATAAATTAAAATTCAAATGTAGTTACTGCAAAGTTATCATATTTTAAGGTGGTTTCTACGAAAAATCCATAAATATAGAATGCTCACTCGTGAGGGTTGAAACAAATTGACTAACTAACAAATTGTTCGTTAATTGTTTGTCAGATTATTCAGTATTACATGAATAAATCATCCCTAAAACTTCCAGTAGCTTATTATTTAAGAGGTTTCATGACAAATTGAAATATGATTAAAATATGGTATGATATGGTGATACATTTCAATTGTGTACAGTGAAATAATTTTTTTTAGCAATTCAGTGACCTCTTTTCTTGTCATACCACAGTCTCAAACTCCATGTAGGCATCGATTTCCATCTACCTTCTTCATCTGAGCTCACAACATCAAGCTCTATCGTCGGACGAAAGCTTCGTCATTCTTTTTCCTCTGAACCCCTGATAATTGGCTTTTTCTTCCAATATTTGGTACTCTACTTTTGTCACTAGTGATGGCCTGGAGAAATATAAAAATGAACCGATGTGATACCACATCGCAAGGTTGTGAGCAAGTAACATGTTTAATTTCATAAAAACCCCTGAATTTCGGGGGTATTTTCACATGAAACCCCATCAACTATGTTTCTCTCAATGCCCCACCTGAACTTTGGGGTGTCTCCCAGAACAGCTTGAACTTTGAACTTTTTTCACTAGACTACGTGCATGTAATTTGGAAATAAAATAAAATTTTCTTGAAAGTATGTTGACTGTAAATGACAAATGATAGAATGTGAAGTTCTTTTCCCCTAAAGGACATTTTAGTTATTTGCACGTTACAAGTAAGGGGTCTAGCGAGAAAAAGGTTAAGTTTAGAAATTTGTGATAAAACTAAAATCGAGTAGTAATGTGAGATAATCAAAATTTCAGAGGGGTTATGTGAAATTAACTCATAATAATTTTCAAGATGTATTAGGCAATTACCTTATTCTTTGTTATTTCTAGCTCCAAGGATCAATCAGGTGAATACCCTTTTGGCTGGAACTTATATAACATGTTTATTAATATACTTGTTTTTGTATTTTTTTTTTAAAGAAGAAACGCGAGTGGCCCCCCTAAACTCGAATTCATGAGGAAGTTTTTGCATGCATACTTAGGACTATAAGTTTGCACAGAAAAAAGGGGGAAAGAAAAAAAAGAAAATGCTAAGTGTACTATTCCCCCGTGTACTCATTTGGTACTCCACTCATAAAAGGGTAGGGTCATGATAACTCACTACATGAAATTGTATTGATGAGTCATCATGTCCCTATTTTTTTGTGAGTGAGAGTACCAAATGAGTACAATGAGAATAGTACATTTATCACTTCCCAAAAATAAAATCAAAAAAGAAAAGAAAAAGAGACAACTAAAGACACAGAGCAGCAACCAACCAAGAGTAAGGCATTGTTGTAATGGATAAATATTAACAAAGGTCTAATGAATAAATGCCACAAAACAAAGAGGTGTTAAGGGGCCATTTGGTTCATTTTCAAAAATTATGGAAATGGACTCCTTCTCAAAATACCATTTCCAAATCCAATTTTTTTTAGAATATCTAGGGAAACCAAAACTTTGTGTCTGATTTGAACTGATATAGCAAAAAATAGGAAAACATATCCAAAACTCGTGTTTGTTTCATGTCTAAATAATAGGAAAAACATCATCATGGAAAGCTTTTCTTGAGTTTTTTGTGTTTGTTTCAAAACCATAGAATAGGAAAGAGCCCAAAAATATTTGAATAAACATACCTATGGTAGAGTTACCATCCCCTAGAAGATAAACTCACCATTACGAAGTTGAAGGCAATAGGTATAAACGGCTAGTGGTTGTAATGGCTAGTAGGAGTTGCAATCCTATATAAATATTTTAGCAGCAAAATCAATACAAGCCAGTTCATTTTAGTCTTTTTTGTTTTTTTTGGCAGGAAACTAATTGTTGGAGTAGAAAATAGAGCAACCTTGCTACTGTAGTGAAGATGGAGTTGAAATGTGATAGCAAACAAGCAACCGACCCATATGAAATGAAGTGTAAGCATAAGCTTCCAACACCCTTGTAAGTTATGTGCAAATGGAAAAAATAAAGTGAGATATTATTGGGGTTGTGCTAAGTTCTCAAATAAAGATTGTAACTTCTTTTAGTGGGCTCACAAAGATGGTGATTGCAGAAATAGAAATCAAGTATCACAAAGTGAAGATATTCTTGAAGATAAAAAGTCAATGAAAATTAAAAAAATGAAGAGAGAATTGAAATTAGCAGAGCATAAACTAATCATTTGTAAAATAAGTGTATTATTTTCAGTTATAATTTGTGTACTCATCTTTATCTTTATAATATGCCATGTAGTTGCAAAATGTATTGAGATGTGAAAGAAAATTTTCACGATTGTTAAAATATAGTATGATGCTCAGATTAAAGTCATATTATCAGTATACAATGCTTCCCCTAAATATTATAATTGTATTATAGATTGCCTACACATATAGTTGGTTTGGATACAAAGGATGGGAGGGGAGGGGAGTGATTGACTTAAACCTAAGGGGAGGGAGTGAAAAGAAAAAGGGTGGAACACATTCATATGTGTTTGGATAGATAACAAGGGG